CTTCAGGGCAGATTGGAGGCTACAATGAGTCGCTATCGGAAAGTGACGAGATGGGCTGACGCTAGCTGGTTAGTGTGCTAACTTCATAAGAAAAGACATGATACAGACAAGAGTTAGCCTAACACTGGTGTTGCTTTCTACCACTGGAGACAGCTCTTTGTGAGTAAAGGAATGGAGTTGACGCTGAACTTGCAATGTTTCTTCTAGACTGGTAGGCTAAGTAAACAGCTGTTAATGCTAATGATAGCTATGTAGCAGTAGCAAAACTTACAAATAGCTCCTTTAGAGACTATTTTCATTTAATCCTGCTACAAACAGTAGTAAATGCAAAAGAGTACCACATTTTTGTCCTTTGTCCCTGTTTCAGAAAATAAGGACTAAATAATTAAAGAGGTAGCTCTTACAACCCTGGTGATGAAACCAAGAGGGAGTAAAGCTATTTCAAAGGAGCACTGTAGTCACCTTCTTACTTTTTATATTAATACCAAAGTCCTTGAACCTTGTAAGGCTAGTGTTTTTCAGACTTATTTGTTTACTGGAGCATTTCCTGCTGTATTTAAATCTATGGAGGGCTTTTCTGCAAGTGGGGCTTAATGACGACACCTCCCCACCCCCTTTCAAACTTCATTCAGTTCACAGCCTTCACCTAAAGGCAGAGCAGTCTGAACAGTTGATGCAGCCCTGGAGGACATGTCTACACTTTCCCTCTGTGTTATTAGTGAAGCAGAACAGAAGTGTCTTAGGAGCTTCTCCTTACTTTGTATTCAAATCAAAGCAGGTCGCAGTCATTAGAATTTACATACACTTTATTATTCAGTCATTGTCAGTATATTAAGTAGCCTGTCTGCCAGTGTCTTCTCTCATACTGCCACTGGGGGTGCTAAAGTCAGACATTTTCAATTTTTACCATCATGGCTTTAATCATAATAAATGTCCATGAACCAAATGCACAATCAGTGATTTTACAGGTCACCATGTAGCTTAAGTCATACTAAAATTGAACAACTTAATAATACATGGGCACTTTCACTGTTTTTCACAGCAATGATCTGACAAAAGTATTTTTTCTTCGTACAAGAAGATCATGTAGAAGTTTCTGGTGCTTTTTTTTAAAACATGAATGTTTAAAAAAAACTGACTGACTTTTTAGTGTGCCAAATTATTTACATCGTAGATTCATGGTATGTTTTGTTTTTTCTTAAAGGTGTCATTTTCCGCACTCAAGATTATCTGTGTACCCACATAGTAAATGGTAAGCTAAATATTTTTCAGTTCAGTTTCTACCTGTCTGAGCCACTGCCCAAAACAAATGCAAGGTGTGCCAGAGACTCTTCCTACTGATTCATTTAATATGAGCTGGCTCTCTCTCTGCCAGTTCATATTACATTAGTTTATAGCACTTCACTGGGACTGGTTCTTAATGCTATGCTTTTAAATCCTAAATGGGGCAGCAGCAGCTCTGAATTTTCTGTTTATGTCAGAGTTTTTATTTATTTTGACCTTGATCTGTTATTTATCTGAGTTGTATTTTGGTTTCATTGTCCTATCTGTGGGATATGTTTTAATACATTTTGTTTTATGTGCTTTTGTGAGTATTTTAAGCCTATGGCAGCAAACCAAATTTATCTTGGGACAATAAAGCTTAAGTTGAAGTTGGGGGCTCCAGACAGATAGGCATCAGAAAGATGAGAGAGACTTTTTTTTTTTAAAAAAAAGACCAATAGAGGCAAGTGGACCGAGGGAAAAGACGAGGACAGACTCAACTGGGAGATGAGATCAGACTTATCCCAGCCATCATTTACCCAACTCTCTCACACAGGGATAGCAGTTTTCTCTAGTCTCTCAAGCTTACAGCTCATCCTATTATAGTTTCCCCACATTAGAGAGATAAAGCAGTGCTTAGCAGCACTGTCTGCGAGAAGAGGACAAAGACAACCTCACCTAAGTAGGCTACTGTCTGTCCAAACTTTTTTTCACATCACTACACGATCATAGGTGTAGTGCTACTGGAGCACAGCCGGACCAACACTCCGTCACTTTTGTTCTCCAAGTGAGAAAATAGAATATTGGCAGTTCATATAATCCAGTTGAAATTCTTTTAAGCGCTCGAGGATCTGATCATCACACAACAGAGCCAATAAAAACAAAATGAATGCTCAACATTGTCATATTGATATTTAACATGTTGATTCACGTCAGCTCAAAGATTAAATGACATGAAAGAAAATATTCCACCATAAAAGTTAAGAATTGGTAACACCACACCATAAACATTAATATAATAGTAAAAATAGTAGAAGACCTAGATATGAAGATACAAGCAAAATATGGCACAAGAATTCTTTATTGTCAACTTACTCTTTTAAATTGACAATGAAGATATTTTACAGTAACTTTAGCTGTACAGTATCTCATATTTTCTGATTTGTTATCGCTGCCATATTTGTTGTCCAATACTGTTTTCTTAGTTTTACAGTTGCTTCAAGTAAAAACTTCAAAGGCCAGTTCCTGGCTTCACTTTAATTGGTAGTGAGTTTAGCTTGCTGCGTCGCTGTGCACCTACACCTGTGTGAGGGCAGAAGAAAAAAAAAAAAAAAAACTAAAGCTTTAAGATCACAACTGAAACACCACAGCAAAATTCAGATGGCCTATCCCTCTAGTTTTCACTTTGAACTCATTGTTCCATATATTTCTGCTTTTCTTGTCCTACAGCGAGGTTTATGAAGCTGCACTACAGCAGATGGTCGGCTTCAGACTAACTCCAGGGTTGCATTTCACTGCTGACAAAAAAAGCATCATTAATGTACCAATAATGGAAATGGTTGACTGTGCAAACTTCCTCTGACTCCTTCAGTGACTCCCGTAACAACAGCGCAATACTCAAAAAATCAGTGCAAATCACAGGCATCGCAAATGTGAAGAAAACACTCCTGACAAGCTGAGATGATGAGGCCGCAGCAGTTACCACCAACTGGAACATGCTTTTATATAATGCACATAATTAGCAAAAACCTACTCCTGAAGGTCAACTAATTTACAGGCCTGTGTAATGCTAATTATGACATAAAAGTATGTAGCACTTGAGTAATCAGACTTGCATAATGATTAGAGGACCATCCTTTACTCTGTAGGCATGGGTCAAGCACACGCCAGTGTGTGTCCCTGCTGAAGTGCCCTTGAGCAAAACACTCAACCCTCGTCCAGCTGCAGGGCCACTGACATTCTTTCTGACCTTGTGCTGTGGATGGATGCCAAAGAAAAAAAAAAGAATATGGCAAGATGTTAATTGTTGATACAGGGCCCCCTCTTCTGGCAATCATATAGTAATGCTGCCCAAACTCTAGTACACTGACCTTTTCAAAGATGCACAGAGAGAATGAGATTGTCCTGATAAGACTTTAATGAGAAGACAGGATTGTTGAAAAGATTATCTTTGAAATCACACTCACATTATCAGTGGTCACTGCCATGATCCACTCAACAAGAAGAGGTTTATAAAATGAGAATTTACTGTATATTCCCCTGAATTTTATTGATATCTGAACTGAGTCAATTCCTATCTTTACTTCTGGCACATTATTTTTTTCTTATCAGCAGTGGATCTCAAAGATATCTGCTGGAGTAGAAATATCTGAAACAGGCGCTGCTGGATATTTGTGGTTATTTGTGCATAAAATTTTTTTGTTTTGGGAAAAATAAACCTCTCATTTAATACAGCTTAAAAGAAACCATTCATCCCGTCACTGATATTTTTGCCTCGATGTACCTCATCAATACTAACTCAAACAATAGGAGAAAAGCTGCAACAAATTGCTCAGTCTCCCAGCAATATTGGCCTTTTAATAACAACAATAAAAACAGTCAAGAAACTGCTGTGGTTTTTTAACCAAAGCAAGCATGTACAGTAGTAGGCCAGTAAAAGTACAATACAATCTGTAAGTACATATAAGTGAACATAACAACAAAACTAAGGTTGGACAGAAGATTTAATCAAAATAGCTGAGGTCCACTTGTTTCTCTGTCAACAGGCCACTCTGTAACCACGACTTTCTGCACCTGTGTTAATGCATCAACATGAAGCAGTGACGATATAAAGCTGGAGAAGATTCTTCTAAAATCAAAAACTGTGGTCTTCATTTCAGCAGCTAGCTGTTCAGCTTAAAATAAAGTTTACTAACCTGCATGAGAAACTGTTTTCAACTCAAACTGATGTTAAAGTATCATTGAACAATGGCTTTTAGCTGAGGCAGCTGGAAAAATGCATGTGCAAAACCTACCGTAAGGATGCGATCACAGCAAAGAAAGAAAACAAACAAACAAAAATAGCAGGAAATAATGTGGTGGAAAATTTTAATAAGACATGAATTGGAGAGCAGGTGTCAAAAACCTGATCAAAATTGAACAAAAACTACCTTGAAACAGGATATCCCTGTGTCAAGCCACAGCCAAACTGTGACAGCAGCCTGCATGGTGCTGTGTCACCACCATGCGAGGCAGCCAGGAAGGAAACATGATCAGTACATTCAGTTGATATTCTAAACTCCACAATGGATAGGCCTCTGACCGTGCAAATATCTGTAGTCCAAGAGAACGTAACCAACTCAAACCTTCAAGTTTTAAGTGAACAGTTGGTCCACTGAATCGCACATCCTAGGTTCATTAACATGTTAGAAAACACGCATATAACTGTTAATATATAACTGCATAATGTCCAGCATAAAATAAACTTAAAAAGGTCATTCAGTTTAAAATGGCCATCCGGGAGACTAAGGCCACTCCATGTGGGAGGGAAATTCCATCCCATTGGTCCAGGCTGGTCCAACGCCTGCATCCTCAGTCAAACTCAGAACTCCTCTGTGTTCTTAAAGGCGGCTGTTTGGCCATTTGGTTGAAATCCTCTGGGGGTGATATATGTAGAACGCAAAAGCAACCTGAAGTGTGCTGGTCCAGCATGTTTGGTGGGGTGGGGTGGGGGGGTTGGGCGGGTCCAGTAGGGGGCCACGTCAGTAGTTCTTTGCAAGTTTGCAAGTAAAACTCTGCTTAGCTACAGGCTGTTATTGAACTCCAAAAGTCACCAGAAGTCCCAAGTGACATCCACTCTGCTGTCAGTCACACAGACGGACTGGCAGTTAGGGCTCCCTGTAAAACAGATGGCCAGGTTGTGTTAGCTTGTGTAACAGGCTGTCTGTGAAACAGGCCGTCTGACAGACTTGGACAGACTGTCTCATGTAACCAGGCAAGAAGTCAGTGAGTGAAGGCGGCTGTTTTTCAGTCGTTCAATCGTTGAGTCGACAGTCACACAGTTCCTTGTAGATTCTCTTGCGGATGCGAGGCATGTCCTCCTGACTGAACAGCAGAGGCTGCTTCACTGAGAGACGACGGCAGTACTGCCAGATAGAAAGACACACAGTGAGGTAAAATAATCCACAAACACAGCTAGATTGCCATATTAAGTGTGGAAGTAGCAGAAGCTTTTCTCCAATGTCTTTAGCCCCCTTGGAGACATAGAAATGATCAAATTTATGTAGAAACCTGAGGCAAGAAAGCCAGTGGAGACACAGATCTACTTTGTCTTGTTTCTTGGCAGAAAAAGAAACAAAGAGAGGGGGCAAACGGTGACAGGAGACCAGGCAAAGAAATAAAAGATCGGGGTGATGAACGAAAGGATGGGAGGACGGCTGTAAAGGTGGGAAAGAATAATGTCTCACCTCAAGGACAAAAACTCCACAGTCACTGTCGTTTTTCTGCTGAGGAATACCCTGAGGAGTCAACAAGTCACAGTAAAGCAGGGAGCCAGACTAAAGATGTCACAGCTAGTTTCTGGACGGACCTGTGTACGTATATGTGTGGATTTACTGCACATGCAAGCTGCTGTATTTTCTTGTTTGATTTGGTAGTAAGATTATTTAAGACACTGTTGTTGAGAATGTAGCAGTAACATGATCTATCATATATGCTGCACTTCAGCATTAAGGACTACATGAATGTGTTTCTTCACTTATTTGCATTAAAATGTTATTTTCAGTCTCCTGTAGATATGTTTGAATTATTTTGGCACCTTTAACAGGCATTTTTTCAGTTACTACAATTTACATTGTATTACTTTCACTTTTTGAATTTGACTAACATCCAACATGAGACTTACAACCGGGTTTAGCTTTACCTTGATGATAGTAATTTTCCAGCCCTTCTGGAAAGCTGCCTGTTCCTTCTCTCTGGCTTCAGACAGGAGGTACTTCATAATGTTCTGACAGGGGACCGGAGACAGACAGACAGACAGATTTAAGCTACAATATAAATGGTGCAAAGGACTAGTATTGTCAAAAAAATTCAATAGTTTCACATTTCCATTGTGAGACAGAAAATATATTTACATGTTCAATACTTAAATCTCAATTCAGATTCCAGAAAACTGTGTCCTACACAATGGAAGCAACAGTTTTAAAGACGGACAGAAAGAAGTCTTGATGAGGTCGAGAGGTGGAGGGAGTGGAGGACTGTGGTAGACACTCATCAGTCTCATTAAGGAGACGGTGAGAATATGAGCAAAATTTAAAGCTTGATGTCAAGCACTCCACCGTGTCCTGAACTTAACCCAACCCACCCACACTGGCATTTGGTATGCTGAGGCAACACACTGGATTTTGAAAGACACTGTGTAACATTTTCTACATATGTAGAAATGTCAAATGTAGCAACACACTTCCTGATGGTTTCTATTTGTTAGGGGTTGGTATCCAATGAACTGCTTAATAGATTGACTGTCTTGACAGTTTCATGCTTCCCTTCCATAAAAATGTTTTTAAATATGTAATTATAAATGAATTAATTATAAAAATGTAATTTTGTACAGCATGTCCAAAGTGCTACATACGCAAGACAATTACTATGATGGTGGAAGTCAAGACTTCCTCGCTTGCAGTTATAATCTGAGAGTAGTTGTGTGGAATTTTGAGCATATTAAAAGTATTTGGAACGAATTCAACTCTTGTAATGAAATTAATCTAAGCAATGTTATTTAAACAAAAAATCGAGAAGAAATTTGGTCTCTAAACATTAATCTATTGATTTACTAGCAAAATACGACATAATCCTTCTGTTTTGTTCAGGTTCATTACAGCTTTATGATGAAATACCTGGACCTCTAGAGAAACCTCCAGCACATGTTCTGATTATGTGCTGTCGCTGACACCAAACTGAGACAGCGATTGATCATCATCATACGTAATCTTTTGCCTGGAATTGATGGTCCAATAATTTGTCAGGGCGGCAAGCAGAAAAGCTGGATTACTGATGATCTGGTCTGATCAGTCCTTTAACCCTAACCCACATAAATCATTCAAAATCATTCAAAATGTTAAACTATGATCTACAATCCAAAGACATTGACATGCACAGAGGCACTCACATCTGTGGTGTGTCTGAAGACGATGCCTTGGCTGTCGTAGTAACTGATGGTTTTGGTTGCCATGGTGACTGTGACAAGAGACCAGTGGATTTCTAAATGGATGGGAATTAGCAGCAGCCACTTGGAGAACAGGTCGACCTGAAATAACGACACAATTATAAACATACATGAGTTAGATATCCAAGAAACAAAATGACACTGATGTCTACTACACATTGTCTGGAATAACCCATTCTCAATAGAGATTCACAACATACAAGTCAGACTGTCAGGGACAAACATGTCCAACTGCATTTCTGTTTGACACTGGGTTACATTTTGACTTCTTCCACCTGCTGGAAATGGTAGTTTTAAGAACTACTGAACATATTTTACATTTTACATTTATTTCATGTAGTAAGCACATTGAATTTAGACTATGGTTGCAAACAGGGGCAACCAGACCACAAAAAACAGCTGATGGTTATCCGGATCTGAGTTTTCTGCAGCAATTGGGAAACTGCTGGTGTCGAACTAAAAGCTGAAAATGTAACTGTAATGCGATAACAAGGTTCAGCTTTTAGCATAACTGTCAAAACAAGTGAAACATAGCAATTCTCCAAACTCTTTCATATTCCTCCTTACTTTTTTAGTCCATCTCTTCACACCATCATAACCCTTGGCAACCAGCTGCTTGTGGAAAAAGCTGTTGAAAAAATGAACCTGAAAGAGAGACATAATAGAACACATTGATACATTACACAGTCAGGATTTTATTCATTCATTTTGTATTTTATAAATATCCTTTTGAGCTGCACGTAAAATCTGAATATGAAATCCAAAAAACACTCCCTGACTCACCTTGTGTTGCGTTGCTTCCATAATGAGTTCTCCATACATGTTGATAATCTGGCCAGACATAAAAACAGAAAAAGAGATTTGAAAAAGGTTGTTCAGTATCCCTAAAATCAACAAATGTATTTTTGTGTGGTATGAGCATAAATTAAGGCCAGACAGAGTAAGAAGAGGTGTGCCAAGCAGCTGGCTTTTCCTCCTTATTCACCTGGTCATTAAGCCAATTCTGTTCTTCTAGTGTGCCAAGGTCCTCCAGGCCCAGGTTGTGTTTGTTGTACGTCACCATGAAGCCTGCAATAGGAGCAGAGGCCAGTCCCGACCTGTACCGAGTCATTTCCCCTTTGATGTCCAATCCCCTGAAACAAACACATCAAGAGGGGAAATTCAGTAACAATTTTAAACACGAACCTCAGATGTGTCTGTTACACTCTGTTTTCAAGGACATTTTAAGAATTGTGATGGATACGGAAAGAAAAACCACAGGGTCAGAGATTAAAAATAACATTCCAAAAAATGGAAGGATACAAGTCTTTTAATTTGTGTGCTTACGCTCTTAAACAGATCCTTCTGAATACTGTGGCAACATTAGAATAATCTGACAACTGGGTGGATGAGTTGATATTATATAACATGTCATTAAGTAATAATCCACGTTTCTACTTTCTACTGATGAATGATGTAACACAACAGCGATTTAACCCATACCCGAATTACTTGATAATGTCAAGTCGGTTGCCGCAGCAAAAAACCCCAACACGCAGTAAATGATGAAGTGTATGGTTTTGACAGTAGCTTTTATTCTCTATTGGGAAATATTCTGTACATAAAGTATATGTTTATTTTGACCGACCAACTATGTGACATTTATTCTGACCAGCTGAGGAGTAGGGATCTTGCTGCTGTTTGCACACACTGTTTCACCTCTATCACTGTTTGATAAATGTGAAAGGGTAAGGCTTAGTGCTCAAACATACAGATACAAGCACTGAGCATGTATTATGATGAATTCATAGCCCAGGTGTGAACAATCTGTGAGTCATAAATTAAAAATCAAACTCCTGTGTTTCCTGTGTAGAATAAAAGGCTGTCGATCCTTTTCAAACTGTAAAACGATTGTGCTGTTAACTTTAACTACTCCATTATGGAGGACACAGTCATCATGCTGTTGAATCTTTACTTCAGCAGCTAAATTCCTACAGACAAGAAAAAATAATCATCTCATGATATTAACTCATAAAACCCTACTGTTAAAACCTTCAAACTACCTCACATCTCTTTTAACATTTAAATCTTGTAAGTACAGTAAACGATCCAGTTACTACATAACCTTAGATATTCCTTCTGTACCCACAAACCATGGCAAGGTTTTAGGTACATCTTTAGGTGCATCTTCTCAATGGAACAATCTACAAACCGCCCTCAAAATAGACTCCTTGGAGATTTTAAAACTTTATAATCTGATGTTTTTACGACTTTTGTCACTTTTTTATTAGTTATTTATTTTTGATTGTGTTTGACTGAATAATGAATGTTTTCCTGTTCTCAGTCTCTGTTGACTGTTATTTTTATGAGATGACACCTGAATGTGTCAAAAAACTGACAACTTTCACATTCATTCTCAAATGGCAGATTGTGTTTGAGTGTGTGTGTGTGTGTGTGTGCGCACTAACCTTTTACTGAGGTCAGGGTTGCCATTCTTCTTCAAGTATTCCAGCACATCTGTCTCACTGAGAGGAATGAAACTGCCATACTTCATATAGAAGCTCTCCAGAAACTCTAAAACAGAGGAAATAATTGTAACATCATTATATGACCTACTGCATGAGCAACATTAACGGTGTTGTTGAAAGGATGAGCAGTTTTACAATCGATGCAGTTAAAACCCAAATTCAAAATACTGATTCGGTACTTTAGTTTCATCACATTCAGGCATGTGTACTGATAAATACAAGCAGTACTGTACATGCAATACATTTTTGTGGGTGTGGATCCTTTGTGGCAAAGCTTTAGTCTTGTTGATTTTATCAGCAGGTATGAGTGGTGATGCTTACACACAACACATAAAGCTTTATTCTATGAGGACAGGATAAACTGCCCACATCCAGGTGTGCAAAGTAAATGCGTAAATGCTGCTAAAGGGGCAAAGAATGTGTATTAAGAGTCTGAATAGTTTTGTGAATGAGAGATTTCAGTTTTGTTTTTTTTTTTTACGAATTTGCAGCCTCTGTGTGAGCTTCACTTACTAATGATGTTTCTTGAATTGAAAAAAAAAAAAAAAAATCGCTATCTTGGTGAATCAGTGTTGATCTTAAATTAGACGTCTGTCCTGAAAGTTTACCATACTTTACCAATGAATATATTCATGTAAAGGTATGAGTTGGCATTATGTGCTCCAAAACACAGCTTACCATGGACCATATCTGTAAGCTGCTCCAGGCTTTCTTCATTCTGCGTCTTTCCATCCATCACTGCTGATTCAGACTGACCGTCCATCTCCTCCTTCTCCCAAGTTCCCGGCTGACAGTACAGCCTGTGGTCTCTTAATGCCCAGCAGTGCGGCATGCTGCACACTATAATAGGCCCCTGGTTTGGATGAGAAGTTTCCACTTCCATAGGTGTAGCTCTGTGGTCATGATCTGTTGGTGTGGTGACGTTTCCATTGGACAGAGTAACTGGTAAAGAATCTTGGTCTGTACTGTCAGAAGTCTGGTCCACCTGCATCTCAGAGTCAAGGTCCTGGGAAATTTTTGACCTTGAAGCATTGCCTGACTGCCGTGACATGAATAGTAGTCCATTTCCCAGTTCACTCATGATCATATTGTCCTCCTTAGCCTCCTCCTCAGGTTCAGAGTCAGATAGGTTTACTGTGTCTCCATTTCCAAATGGAGATTTAACTATGCTGGAGTCAGTTTGCTCTCCATGTTCTATCCCTGCATTTTTGTTCTCCATTTTAGAACCGATGACAACACAACCCCCACCTCCCCTCTTCATTCCAACTTCTACTTTAATTTTTGATGCAAACGTAGCTCCAAGCATTCCCCTCCATCCTCTCCCTCCACCTCTAACTACTGGCACTCCCCTGCCTGCCAAACCTGACCATTTCATCTCATCCCTGCTATCGCCACTTCCTTTTCCTCCTTCGCCAGTAGCTCCTGTCCCCTCTATCAATGTGTCCTCATTTTTTTGTGCATCCTCTTTCTCTGGAGGGACACAGTTTCTTATTGGTCCATCCTGCAGGGATGTGACAGGTAGGGGAACTGGGGTTTGAGATTGAGTATCAGCCACTACTAGAGTCGTTTGCTCCTTCTCATATCTGTCATCTTCATCCTCTGCTTCCTCTACCGTCTCCTTGCTCAAATCAAAGCTCTTGATACTTATCAGCTGGCCCCCCACTTTTCTTTTTGGTGTGTCGCCGAGATCCCTAACGGCCCCTCTCCCTCTCCCTCTTCCCTTCCCCTTTCCTCTGCCTGAGGTTTTGACATTGTGTCCAGTACTGTTGGGCCCACAGCAGTCACAGGCCTTAGGAGTCCTCTTCCTGCCTGATGTCCGGCCATTGACTGGGCCCTGAGAAGGTGTTGTGTGTTGTGTCTGTGTAGAGGACCAGGATGATGCTGAGCTTGGATTAGTTGTAAGTGCATTTGCTGGGGTTACAACAGGGGGTTCTGCATCAGCAGGAGACGGAGTAGAGGTCTGTGTCAAGTCAGAGTTAGAGGTAAGGTCTGTGCTGAGGAGTTTGGCAGAGGTCTGGGTTAGGTCCTGACCAGTAGTATCTCCAGGGGGAAGCACCAGAGGAGGTGCTACTTGTATAGGAGGTGCTGTAGCAGGAGCAGTTAAATGAGGTGATGCTGATGGTGTTGTTTTCATTGGGGAGGCCGCAGAGCTGCTGTAAACCATGACGTCCTCCTTTGGCTCCCCAACCCCATCCCCAACACCCCGTATCCACACTCCTGTCCACTCCTGTCCTTTGGTCTACTGGAGTTTTAGGTTTTGTGGTTTTCTGTTTCCTTGATTTTGATCCTGACACTTCCCTGTGTAGAAAAGAAGTTGTTCTCAAGCCTCTCAAGACTATATCATGTCAGGTCGCAAGTGTTGCTCAGTGGCATCTAGACTTTGCAGGGAATAACACCACCACCATGATCTCCGAATTAGAGCGACTGAGAATAAGTGGAAAAACAAGAGAGGAAAAACAGAAGGTGGAAAAAAAGAACCAATGAAAGAAATATCAGTAAGTCCCCCCCAATTTGATCAATAATTAAATCTTTGCAGTTTAAATGTGCAAGGCATGACTCAGGTTTTGCATTCACCAACACTTCTGAGTCAATGAAAAACACATCAGAGCAAGGCAGTCATTCAAAATGATAACATCATATTTAGATGACTAGATCAGAGATGCATAACTACAGTATCTTACCTGTAGGTGAGATTTCAACTGTAGTGGAGAAAATAAAAACATCTGTTACGAATGACATTATTCTGACGACATCAGGAATTCAAGTCTTGACTATACTTTTGAAACTACTGGGATTATGCAAATTCTGTATCAAGGTAGATTTGATAAATTTGCCATTTGTTTTGAGGAGAATTTACCATTAAGCTCAAATAAACATATATTATATACAGTGACGTTACCGTCAATGACCAAGTAGTTCACTGTTCAGATGTAGTTCATTTGTCCTGGCTTGCAACTTACTCTCTTTTTGCACAAAGATATCACGACTTCACAATAACAAGTGGCTACTTAGCTGAAATTTTGTGCTGCTCTTCTTTTTGAAGTAACGTTGTGGTTACTTTGTGTTATTTCGTTTTCGACTGGCATATGTTTATTCATTTCTGCAGATAAAGTAGTCATTAGAATATTTGTCAATGACAACTAGAATTCCCACAGTCAATTAAGTTATTAAGTTAACTGAAAGTTGCGTTAGCTTAGCTTATCTAACACTAGGCATCAGGCTACTGGAGCACGTTCACACCTAATTTAAGAATATAATGTTCTTTCTAGTGATTAAACTAAGTCTAATAAAAGTTTAGCATGACTTAGTCAGTCCCCTGAAGCTAGCTGAGTTAGCTAGCTGCTGCCAAACACAGGCGAAAAAACAAAGCAGCGATTGCACACATTTCCTCCATTTTCAGTAGGAAGCTGGAGGCGTCTAAAGACAAAGGAGGAGCTGCGACTCAGCATCTAAAGTGACTTGGAGAAAAAGCTAAAACCATGGTGAAAATTTGAAAGAAACATCATGATACAGTACCTTGTCTGTGAAATAACAAACTGAGTTTCGTCTGACCACGATTTGAAGAAACAACAATCCAATCTGTAGTCGCTCATTGATTGCGTCACAGCGTCGAGCTCAACTTCGGCTGCTTCCGACACTCTCCCGAAGTCACCGTCAAAATGTCCTTCTCTAACCTTTCTGTTCCATCCTCCCACGTCGTCCATAAAATGTCTCTAAAATTAGCATTTTTACATGACAACAAGAAAATCTACAGCAATCTCCTTGATTTCATTTAGATTTGATTTTATTGGCTTGACATGTGAATAAGTCCTTATTATTTGAGTCTGCATAATATGATTATACTATCTGTGTCAAAATATTGCTGTTGAGTTGTAATTTATCAAATTGCCACCATTTTTACTGAGTCGAGCAAGGTTATATTATTCCATCACAGGGAAATCATTTTCATTATCAATAGGTCTGATCTTTTTTTATCTAGTCTATGTCAAAAACAAAGTGAAAAACAATCATTACTCCTCAAAACCCAAATGAACACAACCAAATTACTTTTGTTGTCCGACCAAAAGTTAAAAACATTTTCACAGAAAACTGTGAAACTAGCAAATATATATTTGAAAAGCTGGTATCAGTCATTTTCACTTAAAAATGACTTTGTCAATTATCAAAACTGTTGCCAGTTAATTTTCTGTCAGTTGACAAAATCATAAATCAACTAATCATTTCAACTCTACAGTATATTGATTTCTGGGTGTCTGGGGAGATAATGACACTCCCATGTAAATAGGGGCCCAACAACAGCTCAGGTCTGCCAAAGAGGTTAATCAAGCCATGGCCATTACAAATAAAGTAAAATAGTGAATAGAGAGAAGGAAAATAATGTCAATTCTGATATAATGCAAGATATAAAATAGTAATGCAAACTGGTATCACCACAGTATTATGATTTTATCCTTCTTATTATGATCATTTCTAACCACAATATTACTGCCACAACACACACTGTGTTCTGATAATCTTTAATTATAAAAATCTAAGACTGAAAAACAATAAATAAAACTAAAAACAGTCAAAATGTAAAGGAATTAAGTACAAAATTATCAACAATAAAAGGTTACATAAAGAGAATATTAACATAATTACTGGTTGCTTAACACCAGTAGTTCCCAACCCTTTCAAAGCAATGACATGACTTTTGTAAAACAAAGAAACCTACCACAGGTATAGCAATATTAACAATATTAACTGTGCTAAAATGTCACATATCATTGTGTAGTGAAATGGGTGTAACATAATGTAAACTAACGCTGCACAAGGCCCAAAATATATCAAACAAGCAAATTCTACAGTTCTTTAAACATATGAACAAAATATGAAAATATTTGAGCTTACTTCAAGACATCTGCACAGACCCACTCGCTTTAAAGATAATGCAGCAGATTATGCACTGCAATAAGCACAGTCTGTTGCTATACATTACTATTTGTACATAAGATCAGTGCTACATTATTCTCTACTAGCATGATCAAAAACAATAGGCATAATACGTCTCTTTACAAGTGTCTATTGGCTCCAGTGATGTCAGGTGATCGGACTTCATTAGTCCCACCGAACATGTACAGATGCCGCTGTGCGAGGAGCCTCACTTTTCACATATATGTCTCGCGATCCTGTGGCACTGTGGTACTAATGCCAAGAGGAATCATTGGTAAAATGCTGCAGTTTTATTAAAAAAAATGAGGAAATATGGTTTAGGATACGCATTTCACTGCCAAGACAAACTGTAAATACTTAGTGCTTTTTAAACTGGCACCATGTACAGGAACAGTTCATTTTGTAAATTCTACAAATCAGTAAGGCTGCAACCTTTGGATCAGATGACAGATTAATGACTGAAAGGCAAATATTTTTTTCCATAAGAGCAAGATTACAGTCTTCCTGATGTTTGATGAAATGATTAAAGTGAAAGAGGAACTACCAGAGTAGGAAATACCTTTGATATGAGAATCTACTTTACGCAGGGGAACTTTTATTTTACAGCTTTGGTTCAAATTGCCTGCACTCAATCCGCAGTGACACCATTTTAAACAGTGGAAAGCAGTAGAGAAGTGGATGTTGGTAAAGATGATCGTGGTGCAGCAGTCAGTGGCAGCTGTTGGGTTCGGGGCCTAGAAGAGATGATTAGTAGGGTTTAGAGGACAGAAGACATAAAAAAAAGTATTCTCACACATTCATGCCACTTTATCATGAGAAGGTATAAGTAAAAGTTTTTAATGGATCTACACACAAATGTGTTAGAGAGAGAGAGCACTACTACCTATCAACGTGTGGCATTGACGGCTGGAGTATGTATGGTCTTGGAGACTGCAGCGCCGTTGCTGCCCCCTGCTGTTAGCACTTGGAGCTGCAGCTGATAGTCACTGTCAGCTTGAAGACCATGAACTGTCACTGACCGCTGAGACTGTGTATGAAGAAACAGGGTTAGTGCTGATATACAAAGGCAAAGACACACTATCCTTTCTTCACAAATGTTTTAATTGATCAAGATATAACCTGTTAAAGTATAAGGCTGCAGCTATTCTATATTTTTCTTACTGTCAACAAATCCCATGAAAAGACCAAAACAACTACGTGTTAATCCATCTCTTACTATGTTCTGATTTCACAAGCTTGCTTATAAACGTAAATCATTTTAAAAAGTGTCACCATTATACACTTATATTTTCAAAATAATATTAATTAATTAATAAACTGCTATAAACTTACATTTTAAGCAAAATTCAATTTAACAGGAGTAAATTGGGTATTTGTTGAGGGCTATTTTTAGCTACAGATTTGGTGCAGGATGGTGTAAGAGGGATTGACACTCAAAATAAACTAGAGCTCTGCGACACAGAGGATAAATTACATCAGGCTTTGGCTACTGTAACAACAGTTAGGATCAATTAATTGCTGGTTTTTGCCTTTAATGGTTTGTTGATTGTAAGAAAGGTGAGGAATATCACCAGATTTATCATTTAATCTATTACAGGTAAATGTTGAGTCACAATGCTTCTTTACTTTGACACTTTTATTAGACTTTTATGAATCAAAATCTTATATTTTATTCTTTCTTTAGATTTTGTGATTGCTGACACTGCCTCCTTAAAGAATCAAGTAAAAGGAAAGAACCTGAAAAATATCTATTGCCTCATCATCCTTACTGGAAACACACACAAACACACACACTCTCATATTTCTAAGGTATTTTCCTCCTTCTACTAACACAATACAATGCTGTCACTGTAAAACTCTCTGTCTTGTCTCACCGGTGCAATTGTCTGTGTCTGGGAGATAAGTGTGTCTTCCTGTCCCTCTGTTGCCGTGGTAACCCCTGATTGCAGCGTCCAGGTGAACTGGAACCCCTCAACGGCTGCTGGGTCCAGTGCATGCTGGGACATCCTCCAGCGAAACGTAGTGAGTAATGTGCCATTGACTTGTTGAAAATCTGCTGTCAGCCGTTCTGGACGCAGTACCACCTTTCTGCCTGCCAGGAGGCGCTCTGACACAAATGAAAGGCACAAAACTTTTCCTTTAGTCATGTCAGAACACTCATCATAACCATTTCTTAGCAGGTTTAATGTGACAATATGTTTATGCTAAAAGTGTCCTCAACAATTAATCAGAGATGGATCATAATGACAATTATTTGAAGTGCATTAAACTACTTAAATTGTGTGCATATAAAAAAAAAAAAAGGTTGTCCCAAAAGAAGCCAACACAAGATGCAAGAAGCACGTCCCAGAGCATTTTTTTTAAACAGGCATTAAGGGGTTACAGGATTAATGAAGGTCAATGAATCACTGCCTTTACATCTGTGTTTAGTTACTCCTACCCTCAGTGTTGCAGGGCAAAGCTTTGCCTCCTCTGACCCTGATGGAGGAGCAAGCCGGGGTTGTAACCCAGGCAACAGCCTCTGACCCCGGGTCAGCCTTCATTGCCACGGCGACCCGGTACTTACAGCCAAACAACAGACCTGTGATGGTGTGATGGGTGCCCTGGAGAGAGAAAATCAAATCAAGTTAGGGATAAAAAGAGTGTTTAAAGAGAAATTGTAGTGGAAACTGTACACAGCTGGTTGTTAAAACTGACCTATTACAAGGTTCCATAAAATATACATATTACCTCTATTTTTGTTTGGAAGCAGCTTGTTAGCTCCATGTTAAAATAAACACCACAGTTTGAAGCAGTGCTTGGCAGCTTTGTAGGTTGGCAACTTCAAATGGTGAGAAATGGCGTAACTGTTTAAAAAAGGCTGAACTTCAATGAGCAGAACTCATATTCTGTGACCTCAGCAAATTGCTCACAGCACTTTGATATTTATCAACCCACTGACTCTGTGATCATTTCAGACCAGTGTTCTCTGCTCCTCTCTGTTGCTAATTCACTTCATGATGTAAAATATCTGCATTTTCAGGAAGACACTCTAGTTAGCAGTCTTTGCCTAGTTGTTTCTGTAATGTATTTTTACATAGATCAATTTCTGTCAAACCTTGCCATGCACTGATTTACCAGTTTATTAGGCACAACTGTAACAATCTAATGCAATGCAATATTATAACCCTGCAATGAATCTCCTCATTGTGAAGGTTGTGATTTTTTTAGTATTTTTCAGTTTGGTTTGGTTGTGTTTAGATCACATTACCTGCTCTGTAAAACAACACCTTTCTGCAGGAAGACAAACTACAAACATCTCAGCATCGTTTGTGCTACAGACATTGCTGATTGAGAAGCATTGGTTACTAAGAAAATTGCTCAGGCTATTACTTTAAGAAACAAAATGTATCTGACACACAGAGTAATAGAAATGTAGGATAGTTCAGCTGATGGCAGAGAGACAAAACCTTGCACAGACAGAGGATGAGAGCATTCCAGTCAGATCTGAGTTATGGTGATGAAATCTGATATCTAATACACACATACACACATAGAGACACAGTAACAACACTCACATAGAAACAAGAAGCCTATATACAATTTCACAAACACAGACATATAAAACCCAGCCAGGATAGTTATACCTGCACAGTTGTTGTTCTCTCCGTGCTTGTAACATTAGTACTGCAGGTATGTGGATGCCACTGCAAAATGTACGGACCAGGGTGTCTCTGTCTGCCTGCAAAGAAAAGAAAACACAATAGAGACAGTTACACATTACATTAGTGGACATGTGTTTGTTTTTAATCTGTGTGATCAATAACGATACTGTTGGAGATGATGCAAACTAGTTTTTATTCCATTTCTTTATTTTTCCTTTCCTCCCTTTTCATTTTAACGTTTTATCTTGATGGTAGATGATATGAGTTTTGTGCTGCTAGAGAACCTCTATAGTTTTTTTTTCCCAGTAACAGAAACTGACAATCAGTTGCCCTTAGTGATTTCAAACTTGAGGTCCAAACATGAACCGGAGCTGAGGTAAGAAAGAATCAGAATAACTGTTTTTTTTGGCCACTTGCGGTGCAGCAGAAACAACTGCTAACAGGAACTTGTCAGCAAACAGTTATGTCCAGTGCTCATCCAGTGCTTACAGAAATCTGCTTAATGATTCACTATGCTGGTCTCTAACTGTGTCTGTCTGCTGTACAGTACTGAATAGGAGCTTTTTTGCTCCACTGTGCAACTGTGTGTCATGACTGTAAATGACACCATTAGAGCGAGAGTGAACCAAAACAGTACATTTACAGGCCAGACAGCTAAACAACGAGCTGAAACTTGCTATAAAGCTCCATGAAGCCGAGGGGAGCTGCAGAGTCAGGCAATAATTCTCTGCAGGTTCATCCCATTGAGCAACCAATCTCACATTTTAACTGTGTTTTTACATTGTTATTTGATGGATTGTTAGCATAAAACATTGTTTATAGACACTGTAAAACCAAATCAAAATCATCTGTTTAAAAACTGACATATTCTGACAAACGAGCAGCTGAAATTATCATCTAATATTGGCTAATATTTCATGATTGTGCAAAGGTGACAACACTGCAGCATTTATGCAATTATTGTGTGGCCTTTAAAAAATATACACTGCAACTCAAAATGTTTTGTTTCATTCTTAATTCATGAACATGATGGTATTTGTAAAAACTGTTTTTTTGGTCTAGTTCTGTCTCTAAGGATGACTATGTTAAGAAGAATCTGCATCTCAAGTATATACAAGTACAAAATACAGAACACTGCTATCATAAGTACTCATGGACCTAATGTAAAATTTGCATCTACAGCTTCTTTTCTTTTCTTTTCTTTAATTTTCTTTTCTCTTCTCATCTTCTCTTTGGGTATTTGGGGGCTGCTGACATGACACTGACTGTTTCATGTTACCAAATCAACTCACCGTGGTGAGGCCACTTCCAGAACACTTTGACCTGCAGCTGGTTGTCATGGTAATGAGGGGCAGCAACCTCCAGGCGCAGGTTGTCAAGGGTGACAGGGTTTGGGGGGGATTCGGGATTCGGATGAGAGGAGGCGAGGGGGAGTTCAGAGGAAGAAGGGGAGGAGGATGAGAGGGAAGGAGATGAGGGAAGGGAAGAGGAAGATGAGGAGGAGGAAGATGGGAGCTCATTGGAGAAGTCCTCGCCTTTGGTAGAGGAGAGGAGAGAAAATATCAAATGTAAAAGTTTAATATTCATAATATTTAAAAACCTTGTTTCTTGCTCAATAAAACACCCTTTATGAGGTAAGAAAATTTTCAGTGTACAGTCTCCAAATTTAAAAGTTTTGATGCAGGAGAGATGTTCACTGTTCATGCATATACGTGTGTGTGTGTGTGTGTGTGTGTGTGTGTGTGTGTGTGTAACCACTCTAGAACATTTTTGCACTCCCTTAAGCAGCATTTATACAGTAGCTGTTCTGAAGACCTATAACTGGCACCATCACAAAAACACATCATATGACTGACTGGATATATGAAACCAGTTATATCACATGGAATTAATAAATATATTGTGCCGGGAATGTGGTGAATAAAGTGGTGATGAAAGTGCAGCTGGTAGCTAGCATTCCTGCTAATTCATTCACGCAGAGACACTAATTGGCTTTATCTGGCCTAAATGACCCTCATTAGCACTGAGAGAAACCAGGCCAATATATGGACTGTGTCAAAAATTAATACTGCTAAATTATATGCAATATGTTCCATATAAAATTGTTGGTATGTGGTTTGATAATTGAGCTGCAGCTGGCTATAACCCTCTGCTGGGCTGACCGACAGGTCACCTATAAATACCTCTGTTGCCTGGACGACCATTAACATCACCACTTTCCACCATACACTGTGTGTGTGGTGTGTGTGTGTCAGTGTGTTTAAAGTGCAGCTGTAGGTAGACAGAATTTGCTGACAGTCAGCAAATGCAGCCGCTCTGAACTAACAGGGAAATCATTAACTCAATAATGTATGGCTCTGTTATGTATGGCTGCAGACTGTACATAAAGCATTTACTAATGGCATGACAAGTTAATGAAATGTTCAAAAACATATACATGAGTGAGTGTCTATTTGGGGCAGAGTTGCTAGGAGAGTCCCGAGGTGGCTGCACTGTTGAACCACAGCACCACACAATGTACAGCTGCAGTCTGCAGTACCTGGCAAAGCAGTTTTAATTTACTGAGCACCTTTCACCTTTATAGTCCTTCATGTTTATTCCTATAAGACAAAACTGTACAGAACCTACTGGACATTTGCTACTTCTTACTGCAAGTTAAATATTTCTAGGTAACCTTACACCATCCTCTCATTTATCAAAAGACATGATGCTCATCCAAACTGTTGAGAAAGACTTTCAGGCAACTGTGAAAACACTGGATTCATGGTATGTAATATTAGACCAAAAAATTTACACCCAAAAGAATTACTCCTTAAAATGAACTGCAGCTGCTGAGAGAAAATGGACTCTACAGTAACTTGCACCTTATATGAAACTCTGTTGCCACAACCACTGTAAAGAATATTAATAGTTAACTGACAATGATTCCAGACAAACAATTACTGACACAGCGCCCTGTAAGTCTACAAAAATTATGAGGGGGAAATTATACACATTAATACAGTCTGAAATAGACTTAACCATGTCCAATCAATTGGATTTAACACAGAAAGACTCAAATCAAGGTATAGAAACACCCCCATGATGATGAAGACAAATGGGAGGTACCTGAGCTAAATTCCAAGTGTAATAGCAAACAGTCTGAATACTTTTGTCAATGTGACATTTCAGTTTTGCCAAATTTTCTAAAATCATGTTTTCGCTTTTTGCTCATTTTGGGATATTGAATGTAGATCAACTGAGGGATTTTCTGAGGCTGCAACATAACAAAACAAAATATGAAAAGATTGAAGGGGTCTGAACACTTTCTGAATGCAGTGTATACACTGGTATTGTGAATACCAAAATACAAAATGATATAAACTTTAGGTCATACCACAGAGCCTGATCAGGCAGACATCTTTGTTTGTTTACCTGTATGAGTTATTGTAGTGAAAACAGTTTGAACCCTGGGACTCTTCAGCCTCTTCTGACCCCAGAAGGCCACTGTCTGTACAGACAAGAGGTAGGAGGTGGCAGGCAGCAGACCCTGCAACCACAACTCACACTGCGCCTGTAACACATTAAAATACGAGAAAATGGATTATAGAAACACTTTTTCTTAACCTTTTGGACCTGTAGTTCTTGGCTACTTCTCAGTCTGTACTAATGCAGTTTTACCATCCAGATGGACTGATGGACCAGTATAGCCACCAAAGTCACCACCATCACCATCATCCTCACTATCATCGTAATCTTCATCATCATCATCATCATCATCGTTTTAAGTGTTGTGTGTGCCCCACTTTGTGACTGACAGAGCAGACCTGTTCTGCATTAGCCTGTTGTTTGACTGACAGCTCATTAACAGGCTCTTAGTCCGTCGGGCCCGTCTGTCTGTGTGGACTTGAGCTAGTCACAACAAAGAGATGCTTGGATGATAACAAATCTTTGTGTGTGTGTGTGTGTGTGTGTGTGTGTGTGTGTGTGTGTGTGTGTGTGTGTGTGTGGTTCTGTATGTGCATATACTTAAGACTGAATGAGACAAAAGCAAGTTAAAAGCAGTTTCTTGGTGACCTGCAGACAAAATGGGGTTGAAGTGTTTCCATTACCCTGAAGATAGACAAAACATATGGCCTGTACAGCTGTACACACGTGTGTGTGTGTGTGTGTGAGAGAGAGAGAGAAGCCTGGATTTCTATTTTGGTGCATAATGTCAGTGGACATTATATGTAAGAAGCTGATGTATATTTAAAAGCACTGATTCAGCAGAGCTTTTTCCATGTTTGAATACTTCCTTCAATTTCCCCTGTTACTTCAGGTTTAATGCTAAATCCCCCCTAGTCCTGCATAAATTCCTGATTGACAGGATATATGTTTTTACACATCTAGGGAATATATCATCATGTGCTAATGGAGAGTAATAAAATATCAATGCTTTGCATGGTATGAAAGCTATTTTGCACAACGTAGCAGTGTTATTCTGGTTCCTACCTACCTGTTGTGATGCTGCTGTCTGTGTGTATGTCTAGATGCAGCTGCAAGTAGGAAACACTAGTTAGGGGGCCTCATTTAAATTCCAGGCCTTCCAGCCAAGCAGAACAGAGGACCAGACTACAGATAAATGGCTCCACCAGGCTCAGTCTGGGATCGCCATTACTACATAGGATACTACCTAGGCCCATATGAGTTCGCTTGCATTAAAACCTTTGAAACTCTGGTGTTTATGTTTTTATTTATTTTCATCTTTTACTAAAATTCTTACTTCAAAGTTAAGTGGATCTCAAGCTTAAGGATCCTGTGCAAAGGGCACTTTCATCATTCATTGTGTGGCCTGTTTACTATTTACTACAGTTGAAGGATAAATGTTCAGTTACTCACTGCACGGGCAGCCATAACTGTTATGTCAAAGCTGTAATATCTGTTTGTGTTGTTTACTGTGATTATGGGTATTTCGATGCTGCTGACTGGACTTAGCTGCATTGTGAACATCATCAACACACCTATAATCAGGATAGCAAAATCCTCAGTCTTGACTGTTATTGGTGCCTTAAATATAATTTCAAAAGTACATCAAGAAATCTGTTGTATTTCTAAAGAATTTGGAAGCTACCCTTTGAGCTTAGCAGGGAGGAGACAGCAATGATTCACTCTATTACTCTGTAAACCTCAGATCGCGTCATTCTCTTGGCCTCATGTGTCTTACCACACATACATGTTGTGCTGGCAGGTCCAGTTCTGAACAAATATTCCTGTATCAGCCAGATTACTCTCCCTTCGCAGAGATATTTACAACCATGATAACTGATACACTCACTCTCCAATGCCATAGTGACTAGCATATTGTCAGGACACTCCAAGATGCTTTGACTTGAGCTGAACACATAATCCAAATGCAGGAAAGCTGCTTCTCTCTGTTGTCAGTCAATCTAAATGGCTAAGTTGTCATGTTATTCCTGTGCCATGAAGCCAGACCTACGTGTTGCCGTAGCGCTCTAACAAAGTTATGTCCCATGAAGATAATGCTGTGTCTGCCTGAGGGCAATATTGCATTTTCAGATCCACAAGGAACATATGCACAAAAAAAGTCTGCAAAAGACCTCACTGATTGGAAAGCGTGCCAAGCAGCAGTTTAAAAGGTGAATATGTCAAAGCCAGATCTAAAATACTGCATGTCAAAAATGATTTTTTGGGAAATATATCAGCATGTAACATTATAAAAGCACATCCACAAAACCCAAGTTATCTTTAAAAGGTTTTAGAGGCATGTAAGTTTTATGTAAGTATGCAAGTTTAACAATTACACAAAACAGCAAGACCATGTTTTCTTTTTATCACCTCATTTTTGCTCATTACATAAATCCACATCCTGAATTGAAACATCTGGGTAGTTCTTCTATGTCTCCATCTAATTCACATTTGCAGGAATTTTTATTGGACACAGGTGGTTCAGCAGGGCACTCTTTAATTTGAAGCAATTATTTAATGTTTAATATTAAGAATGTAAATGAGTGTTAAATGGGAATACCAGTCGCCCCTGTGGTGTGTGCTGATTCCTGTTTACTTGTGTAATGCTGTAACTCAAACATTCAAAAGATGCTATGATCATATTAAACGAGTGGTCACAGTAGCTGTTTACAGAACCTGTTCTGTTTTTCTCTGCCCTGCAGAGGCCTGTAAAATCACTGCAGTAATCACAAGCAGAATACAAGGGATGTACGCACGTGTTTGTGTGACGTGCCTGTGTTTACAGGCCTAGTAAAATTTCTCAGGTGCAGCTATAGATCTTGTATACGCAGTGTGTGTGTGTGTGTGTTTGTGTGTGTGTGCTTGTTTAATTCAGTCTTTCTAAGGACCAATTGGAATTTAAATCTACAAACTGAGGTGCTTGTTTCAAAAGTGGAGACACTTTTGGCTGGTACTCAATTCAAATGGTTGTTTTGGGGTTAAAACTTTTGTACAAATCGTAGAGTTCGTCTTTTTAAGCTTTGGACTAAGCCAAGCTAGCTGTTTCCACCAGCTTCTAGTCTTAAAGATAGGTTAACCCTCCTGGCGTTGTACTTATCGTACTGACATGAGTGTGGTAGTCTATTTCCCAAAATGTTGAACTACTCCTTCAAGGTAAAAATTAGGTGGGGTAAGCAGGTTTGTGGGTACAACAGACAGAGTACAAGTACAAGTATATGAATGCATATGTGTGTCAGCCTTTAGACAATGTGCAAACACTACATAACAATTGAAATGTAGATGGGATATTATGTATCTCATATAGTCAGTATGTTTATATGTGTGGATTTATTATGTGTAAAAAAAAATTGCAAGGAATAGGGAAAATAATGAAACTGGGATTTGCCACAGGCTCTAGACACATCTTAAAGATAATTAAAGCAGACAGGATGCACCTGACCATAATTAAAAGGGCCACAACAAAGGGTCTGAATACTTTTGTCATAATGGGTTGGTAAGTGTAGCTTGATGGGCAGAAATGGCAATTTTATCCATTTAGAATTAAAGTGTGCAAACAGTGAATCACCACTGTATGTTGAGTGCAGCATTTAGATGGTTGTGTGCCTCCATCGTCAATGATTGTGTTCTTGTATTTAGTGCAAGCAGGTATATAAGAGTTTCCTTACCCCCTGAGTCACTCTGCTGTTGCTCTCCTTTTTGCCCTGATCTGGTGTGCGTGGGTGTGTAGGCCGTGTGTGCATGTTGTGGTGAGCTGTATGTGTGCGTCCATGTAGTGTGCTTGTGTGTTTGTGCGTTGTGTGTATATGTCGAGACATCCATGTGACTCTGTAGCTGTGGACTGGCAGGTCTCCCTCTCTGGGGGGCTCCCAGCGTAATAAGACCGCTACTGTGACCCCAGTTCCTCCTTTCCTACAGAGAGAAAACAGGAAGTCAAACAACATCACAATGTGGATGTAAACAAATTCACGGTAATAACGGTGAAAGAAAAGTACCTCCACTGAGATGTAATACTTGTTTGACGCGTTCAGTGTTGTTTACAATTTTCCATTTACTTTTTATATGTACAGTGAAGCCGCAGATATTTTATGTCATCATGCTGAACATAAGCTACAATTTAGGTCCTCATCTCTGCTAACAAATGTTTTATTGGAATGTCGTTTGTAATCCAAGACATGGTCTGAACTTTACATGACCTTGTTTTGCATTTCAGCAGACAGAAAGGAAGCTACAACATATGATTGAACAAGGATGAACTGTAATTTGCATGCAGCAACATAATCAGACAAGCATCTGACCACAATTTATGACTGATTGCCCACAACAGCAGCCTGCAGTGCTGAAAGGATGCACAGCAACTAACCCAGTAAGAAAAAATAACATGCAGGTTCATCTATTTTATCATCTTTTGTCTATTTAGATACCTTTCTGTGAACTGGGACCCTGGTTGTGGACTCATCCACTCTAAAGTCTGGTTGCTCACTCTGATGTTCATTGGAGGTTCTGGAGGTGCGGGATCTGCAGAGAGAGAGAGAGAGAGAGAGAGAGAGAGAGAGAGAGAGAGAGAGAGAGAGAGATGGAGAAACGTGGTCAAAGATAGGTGGCAGAAATGCTCATCAAATTAAGATAATTACCACTGCCATTATCATGATGAGGATGTATTCTTATTTGAACTGTAAGAATATCAGATTTGTCCTACTGGTAAGACCTGAGGAAAATATGTACTTGCAATTTTCTGAGCAATACTGTGGCTGTGACTTAAAATGTGATTATTGTCTATAAATTAAATTACAATTCAATAGTATTACACATGATACATTCAAATTTCCACATCATACTGGACTATGATGGGCTTCCAAAAAGATACACCTTACTCCTTATTCTTTCAAACATCAAAATTATATATGAGTGCTGTATCTTCTTCAACAAATAGTACAACCACTGGCAGGAAGATAATATCAACCAAACAACAGCAGTTATTATTTTGTTCTTTTGCCAAGGTAGGTGGGTACAGCTGACTAAATCTGCCTGCGACATTTGCCAATGTAGCTGGTGAAATAGGTGGTGGTGCAGGTGGTGAAACAGCTGCAGGCTTAACCCTTCTGTTAAACTGTGATTTTGATGTAAAAACGCCGAACCACTCAGCCCCCCCTACTGATGAGTAATTGGTGCTGAGTTCATGATTCCTACCAAGCAGAGGCCGTTCACCAGCTTGACTGAATTGTCTAATAACTCGATGTTTAATGTGCTACAGCAGAGCAAAATAGCAAAGGCAATATTGGGGGGAAAAGGCTAATTTCCTCTTGGTCTCAATCATGTCTACAAAGCCAATTAGATTTAAAGCATCAAAGGTGAGTGATACTGGAGAAGCCTGAAGCCTCCCTTTTCAGTAGCTACCACAACACAGACCAAAGGCGACCACTACTAGTCACTGTTTGCCTCCAAAATGAAACCCTGAGGTCGCTGCTCTTTCAACACTGGCTCTGTATTTCATTAGAGACTCAAATCCCAATCCTGAATTTGATTAAAACTACAAAATGTATCTGATTAGAACTACATCCCCCATGGCAAGCCTCCCACAGGCCCCCGGCTGCGCTTGGCTGACCTAGATGCAGAGATCAAAGTTAGGACAACATATTAGGGCCGCTAGATCCGGCCAGTTTGTGTGTGCATGTGTGTGGCGTCTCTTTGGAATAAGCAGGGTGTCTTTCAGTGCCAGCAGTAAACCAGATCAGAACCAAGACACACACTCTTCTCTGAGGCCATTTTCACTCTGTGTGTCTCCGTCAATCAGCTTGATTTCAGTCTATTGTTTCAAGAGATGAAGACCTCAAGATGAGTTTTCTGATCCAGACATTCCCTCGTAATTACTGCTGGCAGGTCGTGTGCAACTTTAATATCTGAACGAACAGGAAAGGGGTTTTCACATTCAAATTCTCTCTCTGGTTAGCATCAGGTCACAGTGGAGGAACCTCAACCATTTCTGACATCTGCCAGCTTCCTGATTTGTGACCCCTGACCCATAGCCCCTGACTAATCAGAATAATGAACTGGAAACACAAGACTCTGACTGCGATCAGATGGTATTTGGAATGTTTAAGTGTGTGTCTTTAACCTTTAACCCAGGCACTTGAAATGCATACAAGACTGCACATACTCTCACTCACTCACACACATATATACACACAGACTGAGAAGACTCCCATGTCTGTCAGTTGTATACAGTATACTGCTATAGAAAGAAGTCAGCCAGCTTTGCTTAGAATAAAAAAACAGAAGTGTGAAAACTATAATTTCGGATCTTTAGGGGGCAGGATATGTGCAGGACAGTTTCTTGGCTTGAAGCAGTAACTTCTTGAAGTCTTCACTTGTAGCTTGCTTTGCAGCAACCACCCTGGAAACAGGGAGGAAACAGCTAGCCAGGCTCCATCAGAAGGTAAAAAAAAAATCCACCTACCAGCACTTCTAAAGGTCAGTCCATACAGAAGCAAGTATCCAGCAAGAAATTCAGGAAGTTAGTCTCCCAGCCAAGAAAAAGTCCCACACATAACCCCCCCTATAAAACCACAAAGTAGTTTTCACACTTTCTTTTTTATGCAAAGACAACCTAATCGGCTGCTGGCTATAGATTCAGTATTGCAGCCTTAAACTTGAATTACACATCTGCGAACCTAAGCATAGAAGAGTTGCAGGGGAGCCGACCCACATGCAGCCAAAGTCTCAACAACCTGTTCTAAAGACCTGAGTGTCAAGCAAGCTGAATTGTTCATCCAGCATCCTGTTGGGAAGTTTTCTCCATTTTTTCTTTCAGAGACTGGTTATACATTTCAGCATGGTGCCAAAAGCCATTTTTATACTATTTTCTATTAATATCACTGCCCATCTTGTCTTGTCCATTTAGTTGAAAAATCAATTTTTTTAAGCTCTTCTACTTCTTTTTCTTCTACTACTTCCTTACATCGAGGTTCAAATGTGACACTGCCTCCTAGTGGACACATACATTACACCCTTAATCCATACAAGTATAAAAGAAACACACAGGATTTTTTTTTTTTTTTTAAAACACCCGTTTCCATTCACCTAAGTGCAACCCAGAGGAGCATAACTCCAGCTTTATATATAACTGACAGAAGTAAGAGTGGTATTGATCTTCTCATCTCACTCTCAGCAAGAAAGAGCAAAGGCATATTTTCCAAATTTCCAACTTTTCCTTTAATATGCTGATGGGGCACCAGGAGCTGCCAGAAAAGGTTAAGTGTGCCAAGGCACAGGTTGTAATGTTTATAAAACTCTATTGGAGGATCACAGAATTCCACCATTTGGTGTTTTGTTGATGGCAGTGGAAAATGCTATCTCAGACACCTCTTCATAGTCTTCTATAAGTGTTCAACTGATAAAGAGCCTTTTTCCAAAGCCGAGTCCAACCTGAAGTCATTATTCACATACATGGTCTAGCCAATCCTGGCAGAGGATTCATATCTCTAGCCAATCCTGGCTAGCCAAACATCAATTGACCTGAGTCTGCTAAGCATTAGAGCTAGGACCTCTAGTGTGTGTGTGTGTGTGTGTGTGTGTGTGTGTGTGTGTGTGTGTTTCTGACTGTCTTACTCTCATTTTCACCCTGTCTCACTGACCAGCACCGGGGATTTCACTCTGGCACTAAACCAGCTGGATGAGTATGTATGAGTGTGTGTATGTGTGTGTCTGTACAGTATATGTGTGAATATGTGCAATGTGCAGTTGTGTGTATATTCTGTTTCCTGTCAGTGTTTTATGGACTGCCTGATAATTTTCCTGCTGTGTGTACCTTATCCATCAACGCTGAGTGTAAGAGAGAGAAAGAACAGGGAAGGAGAGGAAGGGAAATGTTCCTGAGTTTTGGACCTTTCCTCAGAGAGGTGTAATATCTCTTGTTAAATGACACAAACGGAACCCAGGAATCTGTGTTTTGCTCAGTGTCTCATGACAGAATATCAAAATTCACAGACAGGTCATGGAAACATGCAAGAGGAATCATCGCCTTCTGTGGGACACTCGTAACAGCTCTCTGAAGAGAAGCAGCGTGTGTGTTCTGATTGTGTTTGTGTTACCTTTACTGGAGATGTAGTGTTTGCTTGGTGTTGTAAAGCCTCTGCTGCCGTGGCTGTTGATGGCTGCTACTCTGAACTGGTACCAGCGCTGAGGTCTCAGATCGGACAGAACCACATCCTCAGACAGGGTCTACAAATACAAACACATCACATAAAACAATGGCTAGGTGCATGACGGAAAAATACTTTTTGTTCATGATTTTACAGTCTCATTACTCTCCTTCATCTAACAGATAAAACAATATACTGTATGATTCATAACAGATTTTAAAAAAGTCTCGCTATGACACATTCATTTTAAATACAAAAAAAAGTATATGACCTGCAAAGGTGAATATATAATATCTTTGAGGATAAGATACAGAAAATATGGATCCTGACAAAAAGATTGAACTTTTAAGGACTAAACCATTAAACCTTGACATCTTCGTTCTTTAGGAAGTCCTCTTATTCTTGAGTTTGAGTTCAGAAATCACCCACCAGCAACTCTAAAGCTCACTAACACATTACGTCTTGTTTGTTTAAACCGTACCAGTGTAAAACGACATATATTGACGGTAATGTTCCTGAATTCATCTTGCCTAGAAGCAGTCATCAAGAGATAATCAAGCATGTAACCACCTGTAACATCATAATGTTGCACAATGTTGGTTGGTTGAGTTTAGCCACCCCATTTTTATCAGTGAGGGAAGTAACACAAACACTTCTCTGTGTAATGCAAACCAAATAAACAGCATTACAAACTATGCCCTGCAAAATGATCACACAGGTGAGGGAGGATTTATTGCACAACTGTTGATATTAAATGCTAAAGTCAGACAAGATCTGCATACTACAGTGAAGATTCAAGCAAATTTAATTTTGAGAGAGCTACAATATCAGTGCAGTGTTTGGATAGTTGTCTGACTTTTGCCTTTAGTTTGTTTTTTGATCCTGCATTCCTATAAGTTTTTTTGATGTGCATGCCCTGCACCCTGTTTGTCTGGGACTGACTGCAATAGTTTTAGCTAAGTATTCCTACAAAAGTGCAAACTGAGTGTACATATTATACATATTCTGTCATCTCTCACAAAACCATAATATATCCTCTTTCAAAACATGACAGAGCCCTGTGCAGTTTAAAACATATGAATGTCACAAGTTAATGAGCTGGAAAGTCAGATGAACGTAGCTGGATTGGAATTCCATCTGATAATAGTGAAATTAAACGATTTGCCCAAATGATGGTTGAAACTGCTAAAGATTCACATGTTTTGTCTCCCTGACAGAGCAAATGTAATCACTGCTTAAAATCTACTCATCCACAATCACACAAACACACACACACACACACACACACACACACACACACATACACACACACAGACACGAGCTGCCATCTATTTAAGTCCATAATGAGCGTTCAGTCATTCAGAGTCAGCCGGTGGAACGACTGTGGCTGCCTGTGGTTCCTTTTTAAGCTCTGCTTATTTACCTAACCTCACACAGGCACACACACATGGGTGTACAGTGCACACACACACTCACATACATACGGTTTACCCTGGCAGAATGGGAGACTGGCTGGGGTGGGGAGGTTTAGACAGCAAGGCAGCAGACTGATGAGGTGGAAACAGAGTCTAACATCCATCTCCATAGCTGAGAAATTTCATCATTCGGGGCAAATTGAGAGTTATGAGGTAAAGATATGTTACAAACTTTGTGGTGTTGCTCCACTGTTAAAGGGACCAGGAACCATTTTTATAGCTTTGGTGACTCTACAACTGTCTAAGTTGCCTAGCTAGACAGAATTAACTATGTGCTGTTACATTGGTTTGTTTTGCTGCCCCATCACTATCTCTTCAGCTAACATCCCTCAATAGTGTAGAGAGGATGACAGCAACAGGATGATAGTATATCTCTTCAAATGTGAAAAGACGATTCACAAGACAATCAAAAAATGATTTAAAAAATACATTTCTATATCAGACACTGTACACTTCACATCAACTCCTGAGTAGTGTCTATACAAATCTTCATGTTTACAATATCTCAAACCTTCTCATCCTCAAATAAAGACCAGGGATGAAAGGCGAGAGGCTGCCTGTTAAGTTACCATGGCAACAGTAGTCCATGGCGTGGCATGGTCTTCACTGGGGTGGATGCCTACGTTCCAGCGGGACTGAAGCATGTAAATGACCGGCTCCACGCTGACATTGAACTTAGACACCCACAGCACCTTCACATGACCCTCTGAGTCCTCGACAAAGCTCATCTCTCTGCGAGGCTTCAGAGGCACACCTGCAGGGACCAAACAGAAAGGAGACGTTTGAATATGGTTCTGAGATGAACATAATGACACGAGGAATACGTGGTACAAAAGGCCACATGAGCAAGAGTTAGAGCAGGATGTCAACAACATCATATTCATCACAGCTTAATATGTAGAACATATGGTATATGGTTGGCTGGTGTGCAGCCAATTGCGTGAGATCACCAAACTCTCTGGACTTATAAGAATGATGATGGTGTCCTTTTCCCCACCGTAACAGGTGCAGCTAACAGGAGATGTCAATCAACTACAGTGTGTACAGGCACACACATTCACACACAGTGGGGACATCTAATCAGCCAGATAATTGAAATCACCTGTGTGGGCGTACCATGAATGTGCAGAGCTCGTTATTGGCTGATATGCACTAAACATGATCTTTGTTTTAAAATGTGCATCAAAAAAAAAAAGAAGAAAATCACAAATTCACAAATTTGGTGTAGCAAACATATAAATACACCACAAACAATATTTTTAAAGTTATTTTGGGGTATTTTTTGTCTTTATTCTGATAGCGCAGCAAGAGAGAGACAGGAAAGTTAGGGGGAGAGAGAGGGGATGACGTGACGCAAAGGGCCATGGGTTGGACTCTAACCCGGGCCGCTGCAGTTAGTACTAAGCCTATGTGGTACGTGCTCTACCAGGTAAACCACCTGGGCACCCATACAAACAATATTTTTGGTAAAAAGCATAAGAATCTACTCTTATTTCTAAAAGAAATAAAAAAAAATACTAATAATTAAAATGTGTACAAGCATTAGGCTGCTTAATCAACAGGATTCCTTCATCACCGGTGAGTGCAGTGCAGGATATACACAGGTATATGGCGTAACCTTACTTATTTTTCATTGGTTGGGTTGGTTAGGTTTAGGCAGGATGAGTGATGATTGTTTAGGGTTAGGGTGAGAATATTGGGGTAAGGCAATCAGAGGCACATTAGGGCAGGTCATGCTTTTGCCTGCTGCCTACTAACCTTGTCAAATTTAGTTTTGAAATACTTTATTTTGAAAATCAGGTGAAAATGGAAATGTTTCTTAAAATCAAACTAATCTCTGACCGAAACACCATGTTTGCCTCATCTTGAATATATCTTATATCCATGCATTAGGCCTGTAGGACGAATAAAATCTGCAACCTAAAATGATGTTAATTTTATAACAGTGGCACACTCGGGCCTTAACTATCTGCTGGATAGACTAAGGAGTAAGAAATAGTTCTTCTCAAAATGCATAATTATGTTATTGTCTCATCCTATAGTCTGTGGGCCAATATTGATTGCAAAATCTGCATTTCTTCTGTGGTTAATGTTAATTTCATAACGATCCATTCTCCCTGTAGTCAAGCAGAAGAAGTTATGTGACAATGTCCAAATACTATTGACCCATTTTGGGTGAGCTAAATATGTAAGAGTAGTGTCACATGTCACTTCTTATAACACAGGGCGTTTACCCTTTGCTTGGCAGCCCATTTTTAACAAAAATAATTGGGGCATAAATCAAGAGTATACCCACTTCTCCAGACATCACTACACCACTGAGTTCATCACCGTCATCATCATGAATTAACCAAGTGCCATGTCTGCTGAGACCAACAATTCATTCTTTGAAGATACTCTCAGTTAAAACCCTCACAATGTTACAAACAAGGCCCAAACACCCCTAAGCGTATTTACCTTTGTATAGATTTGCTGGCGCTTGACAAGTGTGTCCGCAGCCATTGGAGCAGCACTTTCTGGGGGAGGGACAATGATGGTCTGACGAGCAGCTCTCCACGCAGGCTGCAGCAAATCCGGTGGCTCGCTGAGGCGGAGGACAGTCACCCTGACGAGACAACCTCAGAGAGGCCAGAAACTCCCTGCTTGTCACACACTCCGTCTGCTTCTGAGAGAGAGAGACAGCACAGGGGAATTATTATTATCATGGCTGACACACAATGGAAATAATACGTAACACACATAAACACACACATGAGGGCCAGAAAAACACACAGCGGAGGTGAAAGTGTTTCCTTTGGTAAACTCCTGCTGACTCTTTGAAGGCAGCCCTTTGAGTTTTGGTCTGAAAGGGGTTGCATGTATTTCTGTTTCTGTGCACATGGCTGCAGATTAGCAAAATGTAAACACAAGCTTTAGCTAAAAGATTTGAATTACCCTGTGTTCCTAACCAGCCAGCCAGCCAGCCATCCAACCAGTGACATGCTTCAGCTATTGTGATGAAAAACTAATCTATCAGAAAACCACAGCAACTGGCTCTGCAAACAATCATTTAAGGCCACACACACACACTATAATATACGCAAAACTGTTGTACACTCTCACATGTATACATTCAAAGGCCCACAAACATGTTATTCATAACACCCATACATAATTTTGCATAAACACACGCAGGAATGCTCTTTCATGCCGCACACACAGTCTACAAACTGAGCCTCACTGTGCCAACAAAAGCATGTTTCCAGTCCATAAGTGACACCACCACCAAGGCTGTTGTGACTTACACACACACACACACACACACACACACACACACACACACACACACACACACACACACACACACACACACACACACACACACACAAACTTATCTTACCTCACAGGACTTTGGAGACAGCACCTTCCTGGTTTCCCACAGTTCTCTGCATGGCTGAAGACACTACACATCAACACACAAACAGATAAAAAGAAACTAAATATGAGGCTTTAGGAACAATGAAGTACGTGTTTTACAATTTACATTTAACCGTTTCATCACACATGATAAAATGAGTGCAAAATTATAGCCAGCAGCTGTTTATCATACCTTAACATGGGAACAGGCAAAACAGTTATCCTGGCAACAAAATCCACCCACTAAGGAACACTTTATATCATGTTTGTTTAATTTGTTCAAAAACTGAAGTAATTTGCCATTTTACAGGGCAATGTGTGCTGGACTATTTCTTGGCAGGGAGCAGAAAGTTAGAGCCCTACAGTCTTGCACAACACAGTTGCAACTGACTATTATTTCCATTAGCGATTAATATGCTGATTATTTTCTCAACTAATTGTTTTGTCTATTAAATGTCAGAAAATAGTGAAAAGAAAGCCTGTCACACCTTCAAATGTCTGATTTTGTCCAATCATCAATCCAAAATCTACAGATGTTCAGTTAACTATCGTGTCTGATACAGAAAAACTTCAAATCCTGACATTTGAGAAACCAGAAAATGTTCGGGATGTTTGTTTAAAAGGGACAAAATTAATATTTGGTTTGGTAGTTACCAATTAATTTTCAGTTGACGAATTGATTAATCAACTAATCATTGTAGCTGTACTCTGCTGGTTGTCAAGTAACTGCTCAGGGCCAGGAAAACGTCTGTAATATAACCCCACTGAGTAAAACAGTAAATCATCGTTTTTACATTTTGGTTTTTGTACAGATTAAACAAACAAGACTTAAAATATCAATTAGTGAACTTTTGATGTGCTAGTGCAGACTTTGTTTACTGTGGACAGCATCAGGCTAACTGTTTCCCTGTTCCCAGTCTATTTGCTAAGCTAACCACTTCCGGAACTGTACGCCAGGAAGTGAAAATACATGTACTTGTATTTCTCATAATGTACTGTTTATAACTATTCCTTTGAATGGATGAGGTTTGAAGAAATAAAAGGAAGAGAAAGTGTAAGAACTTGGTGTTTTAGCATTTGCAGAGACCGCTCTCAGTGTTTAAGCAGGTAGAGAATACATACACTTAAAAAAAACACACACACACACACACACACACTCCCAAAGCTCACACTGCACATACTCATCTGGTTTGCCACCTCAGTGAACTGGTGAGTGATGGCTCTTACCAAATTAAAACCAGACAACATATAAAAACTGCGGTTTCACCCCCAACCTCCTCCCCCCCTCCCCTCTCTCTCCCCGTCTGTCCGTCTGTCTCCCTCAGCTCTCCAGCATGCCTGGCTTCAATCATTCCTCCAATTTATTCCATCTCACTGATTCCAGGGGAACAAACAGAATCAACAAAAAGCCATAAAAACTTCATCTCTACACAAATAAATGGCTACTGTTGGAGGAAAACGGCTTCTCCAAAACCTCAGGATTGTTTTAAATAGGTTCATTTGCAGACTGATGACTATGTATTTTTAAAATGACAACTGTGTGGGCTTTGAGGGTTATCATCACACTTTAGCACTGCATTAAAGATCATGTAAACCTTCTTTTTTAATGTGCAAGATACAAAGCGAACACTACATAGTGACTTGTCACTGGGATTCATAAAGCATCAACAAACCGAAGCCAGTGAAGCCACATGTGCTGGCTTCTTAACCTGTGGGACAAGAAATGGAGTCTCAACATGAAGCGTGATAGCTGTTTAATGTTGTAAAGTCGGTTCATTTCATTCAAGTCATGGAAGAAAAAGTTTGGGTTAGCTTAAAGTGATACTCCACCCAAAATCTATCTTGTGAGAATTAAACACTGGTGTCCTGCTTGAAATGTGGCTGCTAGTTTGCAGTTTGCTTCTCCACAGAGAACAAAGACTCGCCTCAGATGAAATTGTGAATAGAAGCATGAATTAATCTGCACATGTACATACCTGTAATATTATCATAAAAGTTGTAAAGTTTCAAGTTCTTGTAACACTGTAGAGTTCATAAAACAGTTTCATGCATGTAAGATTAGTAAATTATTATTAGTGGGTTGTGATTAAACAGCGTAACATAACTCTCATCATTCAATGTGCGTTAATTGTCATCAAACCTGCCATACAGACAGAGGAAGCACTCGGGGTAAAGTCCAGGTAGGGAATGTGTGGTAAATTTGCTAACTTTACAAGTTGATCGTAGGTTGATGAGTGTGGTGTTACATATGAAACAATGGGTGTGGGTGTTTTGACAAGGATCTATACACCATCGGTTTAGTAAGAGGCCTCAGTGGCCTTGGTATTGAGAATATGGTGAAACAGCAGAATTATGACTTAATACTGTCTGAATCCAGGCTGACCACAACCTTCATTCTCCATGAAAAAGCAAACAGCCAACTTTGAAGCCTATGTTTTGTCCAAGAAAGACACAGTTTTGAGAAAGCATCACTTTAAGCTGTTTTCCCCTTTCTTCACTGCTTGTTAATGACACATTTCTCAAGGTGTCTGGGTATGAGGAGACACAGAGATAGTCCAATACACACACAAACACACACAAAGTATATTGTAACCAGATCCTGAGGTGTGATATGTTTCTTCAAGGACCTCTCATGGGTCTCTTCACTCGGCCACGTGCTGGGCTGAGCTTAAGGTTGTCAAAATCTCCCCAAAAACACCTCTCTCTCTTTGCGCGCACACAAACACTCACACACATGCACATACACGCACACACCAACCAACATATTACCTTTTTCTACACTCCCCAGGCTCAGTTCATCTTGCATCCAAACCCAGCCCACTCTCTGCTCCCTCCTCTCCTCCCACTTTGATCTGTTACAGACATGTTTCATTTTTCATTCCTATCCTCTTGTCATTTCCCCTCTTCTTCTCCCCCCCTCCATCCCTTTCTGTAATCCTCTGTTCTTTTTGTCTCCTGTCTTCACGTTATCACTCCTCCTCCTTTCCTCCTTGACCTCTACTCCCATCTCTGTGCTGCCTCTCTCCATCTCCTTCCTTGCCTCATCTCTCCTTCTCTCATGATCTCCACTCACCTCCTCTACTAACCAAAGCTTCTCCTCCACAGTTAAAACCTCAGCTGAAGTCCATTGCTGGGTGTTTACCTTGTCTGGAAGTGTAGTTTCCACCTTGCACAGTGTACCCCTGATTGTTATCTGACAGTGTAGGTGTTCACAGTTTTCCATGTTTTGAAAAGGTAAATGTTTTCAATGCTGTTTTGCTTTTACAGGCAAGGCGTGGTTGAACAAAAATTTCCCCCACAAGTGGCAATAAAGTTGTATTTTACTGTATTGTACATCAATGGTATAAAGTAAATAAGTACATTTAATCAAGTACCGTAAATCATGCACTTTATTAGGAACACTTGCCTATTTATGTAGTTATCAGCCAATCATGTGTCAGCAGTGCAGTCATGCAGGTACAGGTCAGGAGCTTCAGTTAATGTTCACATCAAACATCAGAATGGGAAAAAATGTGTTCTCAGTGACTGTGGCATCATTGTTGGTGCCAGATGTGCTGGTTTTGAGTATTTCTGAAACTGCTGATCTCTTGGGATTTTCACACACAACAGTTGCAGTTCTGTGGACAGAAACGCCTTTTTGGTGAGAGAGATCAGAGAATGGCCAGGCTGGTTGGAGCGAACAGAAAGGCTACAGTAACTCAGATATCTTTACAACTGTGGTGAGTAGAAAAGTATCTCAGAATACACAACATGTGAACCTTGAGTTGGATCGGCTACAACAACAGAGGACCACGTCAGGTTCCACTCTTCAGCCAAGAAGTGAAATCTTGCTGCAGGGAGCACAGGCTCACCAAAACTGGACAGTTGAAGACTGAAATGTAAAAAACACAGTCTGGTCTTGACACACTCTGGGCCCATTAATACCAACCAATCACTGTTTGAATGTATTGTTGTGTGTTGTGCATCCCTTTATGGCCACAATTTACTATCATCTAATGGCTACCTCCAGCAAGATAACGCTCCATGTCACAAAGCAAAAGACAGACACTGCTTTTGGCCTTTTCTTTGGGCATTTTTTAAAAGTGGCTAAAACATGTTTTTGCAGACGGCCCTGTCCACAGCGGCACATCGCTCAGCTTCTCTCCCGCTAATGGATTTGAGCTAAAAACACTCTTGGTATGTATGTGGTATGCACCTTACACTCTCAAATATCGCTTGGATGTTGTAAATCACTTAAAAGTACATGCAGTGTATTTGTGTAAGAGGAGCTGAGAGATGAACAGACACTTTTGGCCTTCAGGGTGACATGATGAGTTATGTGTGAGAGAGAGAGCACAGTAGACACAGCACAGGTCAGAGGTCGGAGATGTTACTGTTTAACACACCAACACACTGTAACAACAGAGATGAGATTAATGACCGTCTATGTGTCTCTATGCGTGCACAGTTTGCATAGGGGGTCCTCAGATATCTGTATAATAATTAATCACACACACACACACACACACACACACACACACACAGACACACACACACACACACCTCGTCTCTCAGCCCTCCTCTGGCCTCTCCTGCTGTTTTATGGCCTCACCTGCCACGATGGAGGGATGACAGCCACACTCAGCAAGAGGGAGGAGAGGAAATGGGAGAGGGAGGGGGGGGTGGGGAGATGTGGTTTAGGAGTGGATGGTGGGGGAAAAGAAGTGTCAGTTGAAAAGGAGAGAGGAGATGAAAGACAAACAGTGAAACAGGTCCAGAGAAGAAAGGAGAGAGAGACAAAGAAAGACAGCCACACACCAGATGTGCTCGCTCTCCATACACGGTCACCAGTTCAGTGTGTGTGTGTGTTTGTGTGTGTGTGTGTGTGCGCAATGTGAAAAACGATTTATGTTAATTTATGTGTTCAACTTGTCATCAGTTGTTCAGACTTTATTTTATATTTTCTACACACTGTCCCAGCAGGCACTGGTCGTCAATGTAACGTCAGGAAGACGTTGGACTCTCGCGGCTCTGAAGTCGGACAGAGGCAAAATTTTGGTTGGAAAT